GCACTTCTGCTTTTCTCTGCTTGAAGGAAAGTTGCTTCTTCTTGTTGTTGTTGTTATTGAAAAATGCTCTTTAATGTTACCTATGCATTTAGGGAGCAACATGACATATACATGTCAGGAGTGTGGTGGGACTTAAATATAATTAGAGTGGTTGATACAAATTTCTTATTGTAATCATGTACATTAAGCAATCAGTGCTCCTTACGCAAAAATAAGTTCTCAACACCGATTCCATGTTTTTTTAAAAGCAAAATCCTCTATCTGTACAAATGCCCCACTAGGTATCCTAATCACACACACACACACACACACACACGAAAACAAAGAAACAAAAGAAGAGTTATTTCCTGCTTAGTTACACCTTGTGTTAATTGGGATTTCTCTGTTAGACTCAAGGCCCGTCCAGACAGGCCCTTTATCCCAGGATCTGACTCCAGGTTTGTTTATTTTAAACTGGATTATATGAGTCCACACTGCCACATAATCTGGGTGAACAGAAAACCTGGGGTCAGGTCCTGGGATAAAGGGCATGTTTAGAAGGGCCTTCAGAAGTTTTTATCTTGTACATAATAACAGGTCATTTACGACAATGACAACATTCCAATCTCTGTCTCTTTGTGCTGCCACATCCAATTTTTGCTGTCCACATGGTTGCCTCTAAGGCTGGATTTACTCTGCCATAGAATCCAGTTTCAGAATTCAGATTAACTGCATTGAACTGGATTAAATGACACTGTGGAATCCTATAATCTAATTCAAAGCAGTTAATCTGGATTCAGAAACTGGATTATATGGCAGTGTAGATCCAGGCTAAGAGTCTTTTTTTAAATACTTCACAATGATCCTCGCATGCTTTTAATGTGCTCATAAGGATCCCTTCATACATACGCTGTTATCAATTTCTTTTCAAGCATCCTATCTCCAAAGCTTAAAATGTGTTGGATTATAGTTTTCTACTTTGCCTATTTTGCATTTTGTAAAATAAACCCTTTTTCTTGAAGGGTATATTGGGATGATTTTCCAAACTGATGTATTTAAAAAACCCTTCATTTTCTAGTCTTCCTTCAGTGCTTGCTCATATACCCGTTTATACAAACCCTCCTTCACAGTTTTGTGGATGTTTATAGTGCATTTTTATATTGTATGCGACCTGGGGATCCCTCCATAAATGGCAGGATACAAATATGGTATTTTAATAAATGAATAGTGTTTAAGATAATAGCCTTATGTTCCTGGTGGATTATTACAAAAGCAAAACACATTTCCAAATTATAATAATCTCTTCGAGTTAATTTTCTGCAGACGACCTGCTTACTACAACTACTGATTATTTCTTCTTTTAGAAAAATCCCAACCTCCTCGTAAATGAGCTCTTGAGACCAGGAAAACTATACTACTAAAAAGCAAAAGCATTTACAAATCCAAACACACTTTGAAGGCTGCTGTGAAGCTTTGCCAATTAGATCCTATGCAAATAAAACATAAATGTCAGATGATAGAGCATTACTATAGTACAGTTGAAGTGACGTTTTTATCAGCAACTGAGACATATGATCTGAAACTTCTCAAGAAAATCAGTCCCTTGCTTGTACGTACCTGTAGGTGCAAGACATAAAGGAAGAAGTATTTAGCCTTTAAAACAAGTTAAACCTTTTTTTGTGGTAACATATTGTAGGTCCTGTTCTCTAAATAATCCCGAAACCAGTCTTTAACTTGACAAGATCTCACTTGGAAGCTGGGATGACAAAGGATCTTAGAGACAGAGCTATGACAACTAGGGAAAACAACTTGGTTCACATTTTCCTTCCAATAATCACAATCTACTCCACGTCATTTCAGCCCAACCTCTTCCCAAAATATACGTAGATCTAGATATATAATAGAAACCTGCCCTACAGGGTTGTTGTTGTCTGACATGTCAAAGTCTGTTTGCTCAAAACGCTCAAGTAATATTGTTAGACAGTCAATGTCAGCCATCTCGGGGATATTTGGTAATTATAAATGGGTTGCACAATCAGCATGGCCCTTTCTTCTCCCCATAACTGTTACTGTACAAGGGTTACCCGGAAAGTAAGGTTAGAAGGCACATAGCTCTCACTGGGAATTTTCATGGGGGAAGTTGGCATCACTGGGAAGCCAGTGGATGCGAACGAGCAGTGCCAGTCGTCAGTAGCTCATCAACTTTGTGGTGAAGGTTAGAGATGAGCGTCCTCATTCCATTTCCCTCCATGTGTGGAGTTTGCGCTGTAATACGCTACCTAAATGCTAAGGGCATGAATCCCGCTGTGATTTGAGAAATCATTTCCGTTTATGGAGAGGACGTAATGTCAAGACAGCATGTGACAAAATTGGTATGGAATATATTATGAGACCATGAAAAAACTTCACAGAGCCATCCAAAACAAATATCATGGGATGCTGATGGCGGAAATCTGTCTCCTTCATGACAATGTGCAGTCGTACACTGCTCATGCAGCACAAGGGATATTGACTTCATTTGGTTGGGATGTTTTAAGCCACCCCTTTCACAGCCCCAATCTCGCACCCAATCTGTTCACTAAATTGAAGGAACACTTGGGTGGAAAACACTTTTCTGACAACGATGAGATGAAAATCGAAGTGATGAACTGGCTGAAAAAGGCAGAGGGAAACTTCTATGACAGGCATCAAAAAGTCATCCCATGGATGACAAAATATATTGGTGGTTATGGGGTGTGTTTGTGTAGTATCTATGATACAATCCATGTAAGTTTTATTAAAATATATTCATTCTTTGTATTTTAAAACAATCTTGAAACCTTAAATTCCAGATAACCTAGTATTAAATAGGGTTATGGTAGTGTAACTGCAAAATTTGAAGTTGGGAACGAGACTGTATTGTTATGTAAAGAAATATGTATTCTAAAATAGTCTATTTTAATACAGGAGCATGCCATACACCCCAACTGTTCCAATTTTTCAGGGACATTCCCAGTTAATATTTTATCCTCCCACTTTTACAGCTCCTATTAAAGTGTCCCAGCTTTTTTCTTCCCCCCCCCCCCCCCCGCCACATTACCCTTTGGCCTCAACTTCCTTCAGTTCTTGCAAACTGAGTGCAAAATTAGCTTGCACTTAATTAACTCAGTATAGGGGAAGCATGGAGCACAATCTTTTCCTTTCTAGTAGGCACAGGCAAAAGCAAATTGCTACACTCTGCTCTAGTTTGGTGTCATTTCTTACTAATAACTTCAGCCACCTTGGCCATGTGTGTCAGATCTCATCTCTGAAATCTCTGAAATGTTGAAGAATATACTATGTTGGTTTAATGGCTACAATGATAATTATGTCTTAGGAGAAGGCTCCATCTATACCAACGTTTTCCAACCTGTGGTCCATGGACCACCAGTGGTCCGCAAGAACGAAAATTTGGTCTGTGGCCTCACAATTACTACACTGTTGCTTTGAAACCATGCAGCAATGAGAGAGACTGGTCTTCCGAAACCTTCTTATAGTGCCGAGACAATGGGGATGCCGGGAGGGGAGAGGCTGACTATCCACAAAAGATTACTATTACCACATCAGCTCTAGATCATTAAATATGGTTTTCTGTGGGCAAGCAGATGGCATCTACTGGATGGCATATGTTCTGTATCAGAAACTAGAGCTGATGTGATCAATCCAATGTAATTTTCTGAATCAGTACCCCAAAAAACCAAACCGAATCTTAAATTGACCAAAAATTGATTAGTAATCCTTTTGCTACTAATGTTGTAGAGTGGTCCCTAGTCAAAAAAAGGTTGGGAACCACTGATTTATACCTACGATTAAGAGCTCATGAATTTTGTAGATACATCTGGCTTGTCACTGTTAGAGGCAGAATGGTGGACCCTATATTTGGCCCAGCAAGACATTACAAGGAAAGGATTGATTTCCATCCACCAACCTCCATTAGGTAGCAGTTACTATGCAGCATTTGTGGCCTTTGTTTGCTTTTGATAACCTGGAAAGTGAAGCTTACTGACCTCTGTGGAAGTCATTCCTCCCAATTTGCAGTATTGACTTTTGCACATTTGATTATTCAGATTTGATTTTAAAATGTTTTCTCTAGGAATTTTCAGGTCCTCCATTATGATTCTACGGTCAACTTTCTCCAGTCACACTTAAGAGATTTCTCAAGAGAACACTCTCTATGAATCTCTATGCCCTCTAATTTATTTATTTATTTATTTATTTACTTTGCTTATATACCGCTGTTCTCAGCCCAAAGGCGACTCACAGCGGTTTACACACAATAAAAACAGCAATAATTCAATGCATATATAACAATTGACCACTTAACACATTATCCAATTAATAAACAACAAGCAATTACACTAAACAATTATTACAATAACCAGCCCAATCGTCTCATCATCAAATTCACTTTTATGGCTTCCAGCAGAACTTGGAGGTCTTACCCCAGCAAATATGGAGGGCTGATTGTACTTCTTTCCTGGGGAGCAAACTTAGAAATGCACTTCATTGAGTTTTATGAACCTGGGAGATGGATAAGGATATATAGGACTGAGTTCGGAGCAGAATATGAAATAAATAAATAAATAAATAAATAATAGGCACAAGCCAGTCAAGGTGGTCCCAGTGGTGATCGGCACACCAGGTGCAGTGCCTAAAGACCTTGGCCTGCACTTAAACACAATCGGCACTGATAAAATTACCATCTGATGGCTGCAAAAGGCCACCCTATTGAGATCTGCACAAATTATTCGCCGATATATCACATAGTCCTAGACACTTGGGACGTGTACAACATGTGATCCAATACAAAAACCAGCATAGTGATCTTGTTTGCTGTGTACTAATCTTGTTGTGTAGCTAATAATAATAATAATAATAATAATAATAATAATAATAATAATAATAATAGATACCACAGGTTTTACATGTTCTAAGGACAAATGAAAATGATATTACAGATTATGAATGAAACATAGTACAAGAAGAACAGATAGAAAAAGCTATTCAGATAAAATAGGTTTATTTAAAAGTTATTTTCAGCGAAATGACTATGCAAAATACAAACTCTGACAAAATGTTCATTTTTTCACTTCATAGTTTACAAATATACAAAATAGAAGTCTCCTTAAATTTATATTACATATTTATTAAGTAAAGAACTATATAGAAAAAAACACATTTGTTCTGCTTAAGGCATATTTGGGAATAAACCATTGTACGAATTATTGCACATTGAAACCACAGTGCATTACAGACTGTCTGCATAGAAGATTAAAAAAGAGACACAAACACAAATAAACCAGGTTTATTAACCTGACTTAGGTCATCATTAAATGTAGATCGGAAGACAAACGTATTTCCTTGTCGAATATGCAGCAGTTTGAGAACTTTGGCTTCCTTTTTTTTTTGGTACCTTAAGAACCAAAAGTCATTCAGCACCATTAAAATAGGTTTTTAACCACAAATCTGTACCTGAATTTCTTCTTCCTCATCTGGCAAAAGTTTAGCAATGGCTTTTGGGAGGAAAAAGAAATTGCAAGTCTGCAACATGTTTACAATATTGCATTGAAAAGACATTTTAAGGGAATTCAAGGGTGAAGAAGACAGATGAAGCATTTTAAGAGCCATAACCATGGATTTTCTTCAGGTTAAAATTGGATGTGTTCCTGGTTTTGGAATTGGCATGACAGAATTTCCATGAAGTCAGATGGTGAGTTTGGCATCAGATATTACTTCTACTTGTTTTAAAGGTTGCAACTTCCCTTTATTGTACTTCCTTTTCATTTAAGTAGCAGTATAAGTAAAGGTAAAGGTTTCCCTTGACATTAAGTCTAGTCGTGTCTGATTCTGTGGGGTGGTGCTCATCTCAATTTCTAAGCCTAAGTGCCGGTGTTGTCCATAGACACCTCCAAGGTCATGTGGCCGGCATGACTGCACGGAGTGCTGCTATCTTCCTGCCAAAGTGGTACCTATTGATCTATTCACATTTGCATGTTTTTGAATTTCTAGGTTGGCAGAAGCTGGGGCTCACCCCGCTACCTGGTTCGACATTGCGGTCAGCAAGTTCAGCAGCTCAGCAGTCTAACCCATTGCGCCATGCAGCCTAAGTAGAAGTATATTCTATCCTTAATCTGTTTCCTTAAATACAAAAGCTTTCAAAACTATTGCAAATCTCCCCTAGGAATTTCAGTTGAGAAGAGAGGGGCGTCAGGGAGAGTAAAGCTGCATCTGAACTGGACATCCATGAAATAGTATTAGCCTTTGGAGACCTTAGCTTTGGAGAATGTGGTAAAGAAGTTTCTAAAGTGGCTACATGGCTCTACCAATGTTTCATCTGTTTTCACCCATAATCTCCCTACGTAGGCCCCCATTGTTCCCTCCCCACAACAGATTATTTTAACCCTGATTTCCTTGACTTCCAGTCAACCCTTGGCATTCTGTAGTCCAGAAAAGATTCAAGTCAGATTTTTTTTAAAAAAAAATGGAATGATGAAAACAAAATCCAGTCATTGTTCCCTTGCTTTTTTTGTGGAAAAAAATGAGTCCCATGATTTTTAAAAAATTGTCCACACTTAATTTTTTTTGGAAGACTTCACTGGAATTCCTCGTAGTGCTTTTTAAGTGGAGTGCTCCCCTCTTGTGGAAGACAGTCTTTTGTGCTGTCAAATACTGAATAGCGCATGGCAGTAAAAGAAAAAAGTCCACTGTGTCCTGTTTTAAAAGTGTCTCTTCATGTGTAAGGCAAGGTGGTCAGACCTGGAGAATGCTCTGTCACACCTCTGGCACTGGAAAGGGCGGTGGCCCGTGTGTTTTCTGTAGTGGCGCGTGAGTTCATCGGAGCGGGCAAACTTCCAGCCGCAGCCTTCCCAGTCACAATGATACGGCTTCTCACCTAGAAATAATCAAGAGTCGCATTAATTACTTCTGCATTTTTCTCACATATTGGGGCAATCACCGCCACACGCTCCAATGAGCAAGTGCCTGTTCCAGTCATTATCAAGTGAGAGCTCTTCAGGTAGTTTCACTTCTCTTATTATAGCTGCACATTCTATGGCAAGGAGTTGTATGGAAAAGTCTAGAAAACTTCACATGGGCTTCTTTCACTGGAGACATGCATTGTTCTTTTCAGAGTGCCGAAGGTGGCATGATAAGAGTGTAATTTCCCATGATGTGCATACACACCTATCCCACAATCATTTCTGTTCACTGGTTTTGCAGGTTTCTGAGAAACCTGTAAAACTTGTTTGATCTGAGAGTGCAGTCTGAAAGGAAATAAACGTATATACCAAACTCGTCACTACAACAGCCATTTGCCTAGGCACCTATGGCTAACACGAATTGCTTCTGGAAAACCAGGATAAACACCTTGACAAATATAGGTTCTCTTTGTAGCAACAAATAGCTAGGCTAGGAAAACATCTTTGAGGGCTTCTAGTATTCTTAGGGGCCTTCCACACAGCCATATATCCCAGAATATCAAGGCAGAAAATCCCACAATATCTCCTTTGAACTGGGTTATCTGAGTCCACACTGCCATATATTCCAGTTCAAAGCAGATAATGTGGGATTTTCTGCCTTGATATTCTGGGATAAAAGGCTGTGTGGAAAGGCCCTAAGGGCACTTCTGCACAGCCCTATATCCCAGAATATCAAGGCAGAAAATCCCACAATATCTGCTTTGTGCTGGGTTATTCGAGTCCACACTCAGATAATGTGGAATTTTCTGCCTTGATATTCTGGGATAAAGGGTTATGTGGAAGGGCCCTTAGATTGATCTGAAAAATTATGCTCACTACAAGCAATAGATTATTCACCCCTAATACTGCTTATTGCCAACCTATATAAATTGAGAAATTCAGTGTACCTACAAGCACAAGGTTCTTCAACTATGTTTTTACTGACTGCATGACAATATGGCCGGTCAACAATACATTAATTTCTGAAGAACAGTTCAAGGAAAGGTAAATTGCACGTATATAATGAAATTACAAAAATATTCTGTTTTGAAACAGAGAGAAAGAGACTATATAGCTAGAGAATGAGTAACAGTTTAGTAAATTTTGAACAAATGCTACAGCCACACTGTCCAAGGAGTTAGATAAAACCATGAACGCTTTTCCTCATTATCAAACGAAATGGACACCTCTCTTAATATTCTTGTTTTAAAGAAAGACTATTGAAGTCAAAACTTTTTTTCATGTCAGGAGCAGCTTGAGAAACTGCAAGTCACTTCTGGTGTGAGGGAATTGGCCATCTGCAAAGACGTTGCCCAGGGAACACCCAGATGTTTTACCATCCTTGGGGGAGCCTACTCTTAGGTGCCTGCGTGGGGAGCTGGAACTGACAGAGGGAGCTCATCATCGCTCTCCTCGGATTCAAACCTCCAACCTGTCAGTCTTCAGTCCTGCCAGCACAAGGGTTTAACCCACTGCAACAAAACTTTGTTAATCCTAGTGGTACTAACACAAGGAATCTCTTTAAAAACTGCTCTGTGAGAAAGTTTGTTTTCTAAATTATTTGAAGAGACCTTTTTCATTTTTGGCTCTTCAATGTGCCTTCCAAATAGAAGCTACAAAGATCAGTCATAATTATATTTTCAGTGCTCTCCCGGACTCTTATGTTCACATGTAGGTGGAAGTGTACACTGAAATAAGTGGAAATGCTTTATAAGTAAACCTCCTGCACTTTTACAAGGCAATCCAGAGCTTTCCTACTCAAAAAGTAAATTTGTCATGTTCAATGGCACTTGATCACATGTATACTCAATGACACTTTCATTCATGACACCCAATTATTTTCTTTAGCATTTTTTTTTGGGGGGGGGGCACAGGACAAAGTTCACATTGCTGCCACAGGTGTGTCTTGCTTGGAAAACAAGCACTATTCCGCCATTCCAAATTAATGTCCTCCGAATCAGCAGTCCCTCTAAAAAGAAAGGGACGTACTTTCTTCCAAGTAAACATGGCTTAGCGTCGGGGCAATTTTTTTTAAAGTTACTTCATACCAAAGTAAATATATAAAACTCAGTAGTAAGAAGCAAAGTAATTGGTTGTTGTCTCACTTTATACAGATGACTGGAACATTCAGAACTGGATATTTTCCGAGGCTAATTAACTAGGTCCGTTGCAGACAAGCAGCTGCTTCTAACAGCAGAATGAAGAAGCAATTTTTCAACCAGTTGTAGGAGGGCTGCCGTGCTTCCAAAGTCAAAACAGCCCCAAATTAGAGGTTGGTTTTCAAGTTCGTAGCCAATTAGCCAACTTTTTTTTGATTTACAGCACATCAAGATGAGATCAAGATCTCCAACAAAACAAAAACAACAACAGTGCAAATGAATTATGACTATTTGCCACATCCACTGCAGCCAACAGAAACAAACTTGGTGGTGTTACCATGATAACCATACTTAATTCGCTCTGGACTACCTTATAATTAAGAAGCCACATGGCCATAGCCAGGAGAGCCATGGTCACGCACCTGCAAACAAGCCCTTTGCCACGGCTGAGTCATTTTGACTAACCCCTCTAGTCCCCATGTAAAGCTATACTTTTAATGTGATTTTGATATTTAAACTCTTATCTCGGATAGAGTCACAACCCATTATTTAACACTTGACAGGGTGGTGTTGGTTACTGCTTATCTTTTTTTTCCAAAAAAGTTGTGCTAACACAGTCATTGTATTTAAACTTGATACCACAAAGGTGCATGCACGCGATACATTGACAATCGCTCTTTCAGAGCAGGAATCTAGTTTGATAGGAGGGAGTTTTGGACATGCAATTACAGTTGTACTTTTGTTTTGGACAGAAAGGTGTGGCAAGTTTACTTCAACCCCCTCCCCCCCCTCCACTTGACAAAACAGAAAGTGGGACCAAACACACATTTCTGCATTTGCTACACACTATATGGAGTACTACGTCTCATAGATCTCATGAGCTTTGGAAAGACTGCAGATTCACATGAAGTTGTTGTGCCACAGACAATACTAACACCATTTTGAAGCCTCTGAAAAGCAACCATCTGCATCCAAATAGAGTTTCTGACAGCAGGGCAGAGTAATGTTCACAAAGGCACCAATTTACACAGAACAAGGTAAAGGTTTCCCCTGACATTAAGTCTAGTCGTGTCCAACTCTGGGGGGTGGTGCTCATCTCAATATCTAAACCAGGAGTCCTAGAACTTTTTAAACAGAGGGCCAGGTCACATTTCCTCAAACAGTTGGAGGGCCGGATTGTAATTTGAAAAAAGGATGAGTGAATTCCTATGCATACTGCACATACCTTTAAAATAATACAATAATTCAAACGAAGAACAATTTTAACAAATATAAACTTATTAGTATTTCAATGGGCAGTTGGCTGATGAGATAGGATTGTTGTTGTTGTTGTTATGTGCTTTCAAGTAGTTTCAGACTTAGGTTGACCCTGAGTGAGGGCCAGGTAAATGACCTTGGAGGGCCGTATCTGGCCCCTGGGCCTTAGTTTGAGGACCCCTGATCTAAGCCAAAGAGCTGGTGTTGTCCGTAGACGCCTCAAAGGTCATGTAGCCGGCATGACTGCATGGAGCACCGTTACCTTCCCGCCAGAGTGGTAACTATTGATCTACTCACATTTGCTCGTTTTTGAACTGCTAGGGTTGGAAGAAGCTGGGGCTAACAGTGGGAGCTCACTCCACTTCCCAGATTCGAATTGTCAACCTTTCGGTCAGCAAATTCAGCAGCTCAGTGGTTTAACCTGCTGCACCACCAGGGGGCCAATTACACAGAATAGGGCCATGTAAATTTGCTAACAGGTGACCTTGGGCAAGACACACTCTTTCAAGCTGAGAAGAAAACAATGGCAAATTTCCTCTGAAAAAATATGACTATGATAGGTGTGCTTTAGAGTCTCCATAAATCCCCTTGAAACCATACAATCTGATATCTTTGTAGTATTACTGCAGGGCTTACCTGTGTGGGTCCGCAGGTGTGCTTTGAGATGCGAACTCTTTGTGTACGTTTTCCCACAGCCGGCGTAGTCGCACGTGTGTGTAGCGGTCCTTTTCCTGGGCCACGACCTTCGTCCCCTCTTTGGTTTGGTCTCTTCAGAGATGCAGCCCCCTGAAGGCATGAGCTCTAGAGGTGAAGAGGGCGGAGTCAGCATCATCCCTTGCATCACACGAGGCATGCTTAAAAGCTCTCCAAAAACATTTAGATAGCAAGACTGACCTTGATACTGGAGTGCACTTGGTGGCAGTTGCTCTGGAAGGAAAGGAGGAGGATATCCTGGGCCGGGGTGGTAGCCCGGAGGAACCGGCAAACCCGAGTGGCTTAAGCCTTGTGGGGAAGAATGGCAGTCTCTGTTACTCATCATCTCCTCTGGAGTCAAGGGAGGATTAGTCCTGCTAGGCAGTGGCCGGCCCAAGGTGAAATCGTGTGGCTGTGCCCTTGGAGTATTTCCATGGGGCTGGCCAATGGTGCAAGAAGGGGCGGCCTCCTGTTTGATTTTGGGGCACATTGTGGGCATGTGGTTATAGCCAGGAGGCGGCACAGGGCCATCTGCACAAGGGGAAGTTGCAGCCGTGTTGTTCTTGCTGCTAACACTGATGTGGTTATTGTACTCCCCCATGTTCACAGTGGCTTTCACCACAAACTTCCCATGCAGGCTGCCCAGTAAGGGCGGCTGTTGCTGCTGCATATAGACAGGGTCCAGATCTGGCCTCATCAGCTCAGCTACAAATCCACCCGAAGGGGACACGTCGTTGATATCGGACAGGTTGAAGGGGGCAGCTGGGGCCTGCTCCCTGTTGTACAGGATGCCTCCAGCATGATCCCCTCTTTGCAGCTGGTAGGTGAAGTCGCAGGTGGTCACGGAAGGGCAGGTGTTGCCAGTCACAGAGGGCGAGGAGCCAGGGACAGAGCTCACCACGGCTGCGGCAGCTGTGGGTTGCTCCTGGGGCATGAGAGAGTTGGAGAGGATGAAGTCAAAGTCCAGCAGCTCATTCAGCTCCTCTGTCTCTCGCCGTGACATCACACTACCGTTGATGTTGCTGGTGTTTTCCAGTTCAGAAGACAAGTCATAGGGTCGCCCTGTCAGCACAGGTGGGAACCTCTTGAGGTGAGATAGATCCTCTCTCCACTTCTGAGTGAAAAAGAAAAAGAGATAGCACAATGTGTGTTAAAAGAGCTCCTTTTATTGCATTGGCATTTCTTAGGAAAGCATACTATGGTGTATCTACGCCAGGCATGGGCAAAGTTTGGGCCTCCAGGTGGGGACTCCAACTCCCACAATTCCTAAGCGCCTCGGGCCCCTTCCTTTTCCCCCTTAGCTGCTTAAGCAGTTTTATTGCATGAGCACTTCTTAGGAAAACACATTAGGGTGTATCCACACCAAGCATGGTCAAACTCAGCTTAAGCAGCTGAGGAGGAAAAGGAAAAGGTCTGAGACTGTTAGGAATGGTGGGAGTTGAAGTCCAAAACACCTTGAGGGCCCAAACTTTGTCCATGCCTGATCTACACTGTAGAATTAATTCAGCTTGACACCACTTTGACTGCAATGGAATCCTGGGAGTTGCAGTTTGGTGAGGCACCAGCTCTCTTTGACAGAGAAAGCTCACAATCATGTAAAACTACAGCTCCCATGATCACATAGCATTGAGCCACTGAAGTTAATGTGGTGTCAAACTGCATTAATTCTACAGTATTTTAAAGCAGGAAATTGCATAATGAAGCCTCAAGGTACAGGTGAGAAAAATAATACACATCTTAACCAGGATCGGAATAGTTATTATAACCAGGAATTAGTTAGTATACCCAAATGCTTGTCCAAATTTTAGCAATCCCAGTTGCAGCCTCAAATGAAGCTCTCATTACAAGTAATCAAACAGCCTAATAAAATATTTTTTTAAAAAAACTTTTGACTTTTAGTGTTTTAGCTTCTAGAGCAAAGTATATGTTGTTTTCAAGCCAGGACATGCTCCAGAGAACTGTTCGTTTTCCCCTCTGTTTTGTACGATTATTACTCTCGTATTATGTTATTTTTATGTGATTATTATTCTCGTATCATGTGATTTTGGAAGGGGGATTAATTAATCGATTTAATTAATTTAATTAATAGGGTTGTCAGTAGTTGACAATGAGGCTCAAAACTGTTGGGTTTAAATGAGATTTCTTTCAGCGTCAACTATGAAAACATTTTGTAGTAATAAATTACAATGTATGACAAAATCTCTTTGCAATCTTGTGTCAAACACATTACAGATCCAGTTATTATGCCATATCCCCTCTCATAAGGTATAGATATTCACATATATATAGCCGAGTTACATTTACCTACTTATTGGGGTTCTTTTCTAGATATTGCTGAGCCATGAGGAACACGTATGATAATAAAAGATAAGGCATCATGTAGTCACAGGTTACAAGGAGATTAATACAAACAAATGGGTTTTGAAATACCTGCATAGACAACATTCATGCATTAGGGTGCCTGCATTTGCTATTTGGCGTGTGTAGGCGTTTTCTAAAGCAGCGAGCATTATACAATAGCAGCTGTAGGTGCAAGCCATTGACTTGAGATGATACAACCAAAGGCTAACCTGGGCACATGTGTAGGTGTGTAAATTTCCAAAGCCAGCCCTTGCATTAAGGATCGGCATCCACACCCATGATTTCGGTGTGTGATACGCCATATTTTTTGGCTTATTAGCTGCAGCCTAGGTGCTCTTTTATATCTTTTTGTTTTTTGCTCCGCAAGTTACACCCATCTAAAGGGCAGAGATTGCTTTACTTTCTCTTTTAATCGTGCTTGGGATATACCTTTATTTAAACAAAATCTCTCAGAATCACCTGTATATATATGCATATGAAAAGCAAAAGCCCAATTGAAAGACTCTCAGTCTAGTTTCACAGGACTGTCCCTTGACTAGAACTGAAGCATTTTCCTTTTAAAAAACATATTGCACTAAAACTTTAGACAAATCTGGTCACTTTTCCTGTTCTATTACTGTAACTTGTACATTTCGCTTCCATCTATTGTTATTTCTCATTTCAGGACCCACTCCCCCCGCACCCCAAACTTGCCCTTGAAGTCTGGGCTGTTGCTTCCTTGATCAAATCAATCCACCTGCAATTTGGTCTCCCTCTCTTCCTACTGCCTTCGCGTTCAAATGCTCCTTTCCAATGTACGACAAACCAGCTTAACTGTGAAGTTGAAATAGCCACCCACTCTGCCCCAAACCACACCTTGGACCATCAGCAAGTGGATAATTTCTCTCTTGGACTTATGGTGACCCCATGACTTTTTCATAAGGTTTTCTAAGGCGAGGGATACTCAGAGGTGGCTTTCCCAGTTCCTTCCTCTGAAATACACCCCACAACACTTGGTATTGGTTGGCAATCCCTCATCAGAGTACTAAACCAGGGCTGACTCTGTTTAATATCCAAGATTTCTTTCTCTCTGGCCTTTTCTACACTGTACTTGTATCCCAGGTTATCTGCTTTGAAGTGGATTATATGAGTCTCCACTGCCAGATAATCTGGGATCAGATTCTGGGATAAAGGCCAGTGTAGAAGGGGCCAGAGACTCTCTCAGGTCACCTGTTGGGGTGTGGTGGAATCTCCTTCTCTGGAGGTTATTGTTAACTGCAGGAAAAAGGTGATTCCCCCTAAACCTTAGGAAAACTGTCCTGCCAGTGAAAGCCGTCAGTCAGTGGAATATGCTCCCTTGGAGTGTCGTGGGATCTCCTTCTCTGGAGGATATTGCTAACTGCAGGAAAAATGTGAGTCCCCTTAAACATTAGAAAGAATGTCCTGAAGGTGGAAGCCGTTCCTCATTAGAATATGTGATGGAGTCTCCTACTCTGGAAGCTTCTAGCAGAGGCTGTATGGCCATCTGTCCAGAGTGCTTTGATTCTGTGTTCCAGCATAGGCTGGCACTAGATGGCCCTTGTGGTCTCCTCTAACCCTATGATTCTACGATATAATAATATATAAGTGTTGTTGTTGTTGTTTATTTATACGGCGCTTTATCTCCCCAAAGGGGACTCAAAGCGTCTTGACATAAAAACATTGGTATCCAATGTAAAATATACAAATATACAGACATTAAAACAGAATTAAACACAAACAGTATTTAAATATTCAGTTAAAATTCATCAAGCACAACAACAACAACAACAACTTATTTGTATATTGCCCTATCTCCCTGAAGGGACTCAGGTTTCCATCATATAAGGCAAAACATTCAATTGCCAAGAAGAAAATCGCACAGAGAGATTAAAATAAATGCATCATAAAATCACAAAATCATACTAGAACATCACAATAAAATTTTTAACCAATTGCAATTATAACTCCATCAGACAAGGCTCAATAAAACCACTGGCTAGGATTACCAAAGGGCATGGTCAACTAAAGGACTGGGCAAGGGAAAACAGTGTATTATAGGGTTAAGGAAGTGGAGAAAGTGCAGACAGAGTATATTCAAAGTTAAAAACCACAGTCCTCTGAATTGATTTTTAAAATCTTCTTCTTTCAAAGCCTGTCTGAATAAGGTTTTAGCCTGCCGCTGGAAGGACCACAAGGAGGGGGCCATTCTGGCTTCCCTGGGAAGAAGAGATTTCCAGAGTCGAGGGGAAGACACCAAGAAGGAAGGCCCACTCTCCCGAGCTTGAGATGGAGGTGGGACCGAGATAAAAAACCTCTCCCGAAGACCTCAGGGCCTCGGCAGGTTCATACAAGGGGATGCGGTCAGCCAAACAGCTGAACCATTTCTAGGGCTTTAAAAGTACTACTCCAAACTGGTTTGTATATTAGGTTTTAACTTTTTTACTTTTAACCTTTTGTTACGTTTACTGTTACTTTATTTTGATTTGATGTGGTTTATGCTAAGTTTCATTGTTATGCTTTATCTTTTATTTAATTTGGTATACCTTCATATTTATTAGGTTATTGTTGTATATTTTATATTTTATGTTATCCTGTTTGCATTGCTGCTGTTTTGTAAGCCGCCCCAAGTCCCTCTAGGGCAGGCATGGGGAAACTTTGGTGTTTTAGACTTCAACTCCCACAATTCCTAACAGTCGAGTACAGGGAAACCCTGGTCCTTGAGTGCTCTAACTGGAGGCCACCTGTGACCAGCAATGCTGCAGAATTCGAAGAGGCACGAATGGAGGGCGAAAGGGAGAAATGTGCCCAGGGGAAGGCGTGTCAAGCCAACCCTGGCTGGGACACCTTCCAACTAGAAACCGATGTCTTCACTGCAGGAGAACATACAGATCAAGAATAGGGCTCCACAGCCACCTACAAACCTATTGTCAAGACACCTCAACCTACAAGGGATCACCTAAATAAAGAACAATAACAAGCACTTTGAATTGTGCCCCGTTACCGACTGGCAGGCAGTGGAGCCAGCCCCACTGAGCAAGTTGTATGATTCTGTATCGTAGATGAGATAAATATATTGTTGAAGGATTTCATGGCCAGAATCACTTGGTTGCTGAGTGTTCTCCAGGCTGTATGGTCATGTTCGGGAAGCATCCTCTCCTGACAGTTTGCCTGCATCTATGGCAGGCATTCTCAGAGGTTGTACGGTCTGTTGGAAACTATCAAAGTGGGGTTTTGCATATATGTCCAGAGTATGAGAAAGAACTGTTGTCTGAGGCAGGTGTGAATGCTGTAATTGGCCACCTTGATTAGCACTGAATGGCCTTGCAGTTTCAAGGTCTGGCTGGTTGCTGCCTGGGAGGATTCTTTGTTAGGCAGCATCCTGGCAGACCTTGAAACTGCAAGGCCATTCAATGCTCATCAAGGTGGCCAATTGCAACATTCACACCTCCCCCCAACAAACAAGACTTCTTTCTCCCACCCTGGACATTCCACAGATATATAAACCCCCACTTTGATAGTTTCCAGAAGACTTCACAACCTCTGAGGACGCCTGCCATAGCTGCAGGCAAAACGTCTGGGGATAATGCTTCCTGAACATAACCACACAGCCCGGAAAACTCACAGCAACCCAGTAGGCGAAGATAAATTTTGGTTACACTCGATGTGATTGCAACCCTGTGAGTTTTTCTTAAGCAACACATCCTCAGAAGTGGTTTTGCAGTTTGTTTCAGCTAATACTGATTGGTTGGCCTCATCCCAAAAGTGACCAGGGCTGACCTGACTTGGTATGTAATATGAAGTACCTTGTAGGTAAAGGTAAAAGTTTTCCCCTGACATGAAGTCCAGTATGTCCGACTCTGGGGTGTGGTGCTGATCTCCATTTCTAAGCTGAAGAGCCAGCATTGTCTGTAGACACCTCCAAGGTCATGTGGCTGGCATGACTGCATGGAGCGCTGTTACTTTCCCACCAGCAGTACCTATTGATCTACTCGCATTTGCATGTTTTCGAACTGCTAGGTTGACAGAAGCTGGGGCTGACAGTGGAAGCTCATGCCACTCCCCGTATTCGAACCTGTGACCTTTAGGTCAACAAGCTCAGCAGCTCAGTGCTTTAACCCACTGTGCCAATGGGGGCTCCATGAGGTGGGTTAAATCCCCCCTGTCCAGCTAAATCCCCCCCCCTCCAATTCAGAAAGCCTGTTTTGTCACTTAGGAGTCCTATAGGCCAGTCCTTGAGCTTGAGATGGAAGAAGGGCCCTCTCTGGTTTCGCGGGGCACTCTGCACCTGCTCAGGAACCCTTGATCCTGGCCTCCCTTCCCAGAGAGAGCCCTCCAAGGACCCCCGGGAGCAATGCAAGCCCTCTTACTCACGTTGCAGGCGGCGGCTTGTCGGAGGGCCTTCTCCCTGCTGGCTGCTGTCCCGGCGGCGGCGAAGGTGGCGATGGAGGGGAGCAGGGTGCCGCTGAGCGCCATCTCGACGTCTCCCGGGGGAGGCTGCCTGCGGGGGAAAGAGCAGGAGGGATCACCATCCACCTCAGGACACTTTGACCTCCAAAGCCTCTTTGAAGGAGGCGGCAAAACAAAAATGGGGGGAAAGAACAGAGAACGACCACCCACCTCATGAATGTCTGACGGCAACGGGGAGGGATACAGTCCGAAAAGAACTCTTGTCTTTTGCAAGGGAAGGAATGGCCCCGTCAGGGAGCAGCAGCAGCAGCAGCAGCAGCAAAAGAATCCGCTTTGTAAGTGAGCAGCAGTAGAGGCAGCAGCAACGCGGTCAGCTGGACGGCGCGAGACAATTCCTGGGGATTCCCTGCGCGCGCCGCTGCTGCCATGAGGGGAGTCCTCGGAGGAGTCCTGCTGCCGCGCGCTCCTTGCTTGGCTGGTTGATTGACGGGCGGGCGCGCGGGCGGGGCTGGCACTTGCGTTCTGTTTCTCCTCTCTCTCTTTCTCTCTCTTTTTCTCTTTCCTCACTCCCAGCGGGGGACCCTCGCTTGGGCGACTGATGCTCCTGCGCGCGCGCTCCGATTTCCCTTCTCCGAACTGTCAAGCCTCGCGCGCCCCGCCGCTCGCGGGACTTTATAAACTTCCCTCCCTGGCCCCGCCCCGCCCCCCGCCTCCGGAGCCACGCCCGCCCGTGATGCTTGTTGCCCTGGCGACAGGGGAAAACAACAAACTTTACACTCTCTCCTTCCCTCCCTCTCTCTCTCACTCCAACACGTGGGGTGGAGAGCTAGGGAGAGAGAAAGCGAGAGCAGGGATAGGCCGTGACGTCAGCAGAGCAGCTGGCTGGCAGCTCGCGCCCGGCGCTGACGCCAGCGAGGAGGAGCCCGCGAGGCAGCCGCTGGTTTGTTTTTATTCGCGCGCCCCCAACCCCCGCCTCTCGGTGTGTCGCGCGCGCCCCCCCTCTCTCTCGCGCGCACCTGGAGAGAGAAAGACAGTGGAGGATGGCGAGGGAAGGAAGGAAGGAGACGGGTTTTCTTGTCCTCTCCTTCTCTTTTTGAGGCACCCCTCCTCCGCGCCAGGATGGACTCCGAGGGCCCTCCGTGTATATAATAATAAGCATGAAGCAAGGAGAAGGTATTTTCCCGGGCGAGGCGTGACGTCCCGCTGTGCGTGGAGGCCATAAACGCCCGTATTTATTGTTAAGTTTCCTGGTTGCTGTTTGGAGGCTTCTTCGGAGAGAGAAGGAGGACTGAGTGAGCGCCACGGAGCGAGAGCCGCAAGACTTCCTCATCCTCTCGCCTGCGCATAGAGCGGCTCAGCCCTGCCAAGCCACGTTTTCTCCTGCTCCTTCCACGCATCTGAATAAAACCCTGGGTGAAAAAGTAATAAAGAGACAATTCACTCTTTTAATGAGCCCCCGGTGACACAGGGGGTTAAACTCCTGTGCCGGCAGGACTGAAGACCCGACAGGTCGCAGGTTCGAATCCGGGGAGAGGCGGATGAGCTCCCTCTGTCAGCTCCAGCTCCTCATGCGGGGACATGGGAGAAGCCTCCCACAAGGATGATAAAACATCAAATCATCCAGGCGCCCCCTGGGCAACGTCCTTGCAGACGGCCAATTCTCTCACACCAGAAGTGACTTGGTTTCTCAAGTCACTCCTGACACGACAAAATAAAACGCATCTGAATAAAATCCCACAGTATGTGCTTTGAACTGGAAGGAATATATTTATTTATTTACTATATTTTTGTATACCACTTTTCTCAGCCCTCCAGGCGACTCAGTGCAGTTAACAATAGCAAAATTCAATGCTCAGAACAACATAAAAGAGTTAAAAACAATTAAAACAATAGCGTATTAAACAATTATACATCAATAAACATCTCGGTAGCGTCTCATAATTAGAATCAGGATCCAGTTTCATCACTCAATTGTTCCATATTTCTATATTCATCACACTGCCTATTAAAATGCCTGCTCGAACAACCAGGTCTTCAATTTCCTCCAAAATGCTAACAAGGAGAGGGCCGATTAATATCTGTAGGAAGGGCGGTCCACAGCCGAGGGGCCACCATTGATAAGGCCCTGTCTCTCGTCCCCACCAGATGTACTTGTGACGCAGGCAGGACTGAGAGCAGGGCCTCCCCAGACGATCTTAATGATCTTATGGCACTGTGGACTCAGACAACCCAATTCAAAGCAGATATTGTGGGATTTCCTGCCTTGATATTCTGGATCCCTTGCCACACTGCCCTATATCCCAGAATATTTATTTATTTCTTATTTATTTATGACATTTATATGCTGCCCTGCTCACCCCGAAGGGGACACAGAATGGCTTACAACACACACACACACACACACACACACACACACACACAATATACTATATTATGAGCATAGAACAATATCAGTATTATATATTACTATATATAACCCTCCAGCAAAGGATCACCGCCTTGTCGGGGCGCTGGAGCTTGAGCACCTCAATGATGTCATGAGCGAAACCGTGAAGGGCCACCCAAGACGGGACGGTTGTGGCAGAGAGGTCAGACCAAGCGTGATCCCTGGGGAAGGCAATGGCAAACCACTCCAGTATCCTTGCCAAGAAAACTAAATGGACCATACAACCAGAGATATGTCGGTATGCCATTGGAAGATGGGACTCCCAGGTCGGAAGATGGCCAAAATGCTACTGGGGAGGAGCAGAGGATAAGTTCAACTAGCCCCAGATGTGATGACGCAGCTAGCTCAAAGCCGAAAGGAAGGCTAGCGGCCGACGGTACTGGAGGTGAACGACGAATCCGATGCTCTAAAGATCAACACACCATAGGAACCCGGAATGTAAGATCTATGAGCCAGGGCAAATTGGATGTTGTTATTGGTGAGATGTCAAGACTAAAGATAGACATTCTGGGGGTCAGCGAACTGAAATGGACTGGAATGGGCCACTTCACATCAGATGACCACCAGATCTACTACTGCGGACAAGAGGAACATCGAAGAAATGGAGTAGCCTTCATAATTAATAAGAAATTCGCTAAAGCGGTGCTTGGATACAACCCAAAAAGTGACAGAATGATCTCAATTCGAGTGCAAGGAAAGCCTTTCAACATTACAGTGATCCAAATATACGCCCCAACCACAGCTGCTGAAGAAGCAGAAGTAGATCAGTTCTATGAGGATCTGCAGGACCTACTGGATAATACACCAAAAAGAGACATTATTTTCATTACAGGAGACTGGAATGCAAGGTGGGAAGTCAAATGACAACTGGGATCACAGGCAAGCATGGTCTGGGAGAACAAAATGAAGCGGGACGCAGGCTGATAGAATTTTGCCAGGAAAACTCGCTGTGTATAACGAATACTCTCTTCCAACAACCTAAAAGACGGCTTTATACACATGGACCTCACCAGATGGTCAACACCGAAATCAGATTGACTACATCCTTTGCAGCCAAAGGTGGCGGACATCCATCCAGTCGGTGAAAACAAGACCTGGGGCTGACTGTAGCTCAGATCACGAACTTCTTATTGCCAATTTAGAATAAAACTAAAGAGATCAGGGAAAATACACAGACCAGTTAGATATGATCTCACTAACATTCCTAGCGAATACAGTGGAAGTGAAGAACAGATTTGAAGGACTAGATTTAGTAAACAGAGTCCCAGAAGAACTATGGACAGAAGTCCGCGACATTGTTCAGGAGACGGCAACAAAGTACGTTCCAAAGAAAAAGAAAACCAAGAAGGCAAAATGGTTGTCTGCTGAGACACTGGAAGTAGCCCAAGACAGGAGGAAAGCAAAAGGAAACAGGGATAAGGGGAGATATGCCCAGTTAAATGCGCAATTCCAGAGGTTAGCCAGAAGAGATAAGGAACTATTTTTAAACAAGCAATGCATGGAAGTGGAAGAAGACAACAGAATAGGAAGGACAAGAGACCTCTTCCAGAAAATTAGAAACATTGGAGGTAAATTTCAGGCAAAAATTGGTATGATAAGAAACAAAGATGGCAGGGACCTAACAGAAGCTGAAGAGATCAAGAGAAGGTGGCGAGACTATACAGAAGATCTGTATAGGAAGGATAATAATATTGAGGATAGTTTTGACGGTGTAGTGAATGAATTAGAACCAGACATCCTGAGGAGTGAGGTTGAATGGGCCTTAAGAAGCATTGCTAACAACAAGGCAGCAGGAGACGACGGGATCCCAGCTGAACTGTTTAAAATCTTAAAAGATGATGCTGTCAAGGTGATGCATGCCATTTGCAAGCAAATATGGAAACACAAGAATTGCCATCAGACTGGAAAAAATCAACTTATATCCCCATACCAAAAAAGGGAAATGCGAAAGACTGCTCAAACTTCCGTACAGTGGCCCTTATTTCTCATGCCAGTAAGGTAATGCTCAAGATCCTGCAAGGAAGACTCCAGCAATACATGGAACGAGAGTTGCCAGACGTTCAAGCTGGGTTTAGAAAAGGCAGAGGAACGAGAGACCAGATTGCCAATATCCGCTGGATAATGGAGAAAGGCAGGGAGTTTCAGAAAAACATCTACTTCTGCTTCATTGACTATTCTAAAGCCTTTGACTGTGTGGATCATAATAAATTGTGGCAAGTTCTTAGTGGGAGGGGCATCCCAAGCCACCTTGTCTCTCTCCTGAGGAATCTGTACAAGGACCAAGTAGCAACAGTAAGAACTGACCATGGAACAACAGACTGGTTCAAGATTGGGAAAGGCGTACGGCAAGGCTGCATACTCTCACCCAACCTTTTTAACTTGTATGCAGAACACATCATGCGATGAATGCAAAGCTGGGGTGAAAATTGCTGGAAGAAACATTAACAACCTCAGATATGCAGATGACACCACTCTGATGGCCGAAAGCGAGGAGGAGCTGAGGAGCCTTCTAATCAAGGTGAAAGAAGAAAGTGCAAAAGCCGGGTTGCAGCTAAACGTCAAAAAAACCAAGATTATGGCAACAAGAATGATTGACAACTGGAAAATAGAGGGAGAAACCGTGGAGGCCATGACAGACTTTGTATTTCTAGGTGCAAAGATTACTGCAGATGCAGACTGTGGCCAGGAAATCAGAAGACGCTTACTTCTTGGGAGGAGAGCAATGTCCAGTCTCGATAAAATCGTAAAGAGTAGAGACATCAGACTGGCAACAAAGATCCGCCTAGTCAAAGCCATGGTATTCCCTGTAGTAACCTACGGATGTGAGAGCTGGACCTTAGGGAAGGCTGAGCGAAGGAAGATCGA